ATTATAGGCATCTTAAATGCAATAAGATTTATAATAATATTTTAAATATGCTAGCTTAAATATCCGCAATTGGAATACCAGAATTATATACTAGGTGATTTATTATCAGTCAAGTTTTTGGAGCCAATAATAGCCGGGCGTTCAGTATTACTGGATGAAGATACTGTGATACAGGAGATCATTGATTTGCATCCGGCACTACCACTGCACATATCAGATGAGCGAGCTCTACTTTCAGTTGTTGGCTTATTAGTTAGAAAACAAATGAACCCTAATTTCAAATGCATTTTGAAACAAAGGTAACATGGGCAAATAATAATTATTATTTTTGAAAGTTTATTTTATATAGTGTTGCCATAGTATTTGAGCAAGGATTACTATTAGGACGAATAAAAATCAATATGATACCTGTTAACATCAAGGGTAGTTTAGTTTTATCAGATCAAGCCATTGCTGATGCTGATGAAAACGATGAATATGATATATTTACCAGTGTCAATCTAACGCGAGTGCAATTATATTTTATGATTTATTTCACATTATTAGCATTTTCTACACTTGTATTTCTTATTGAAATATATAAATATTGAAAATATTTGAAATATACATTTTATTATAATTACATTGATATTTTTCAATGAATGAATTAATTTTTAATAAATGAATTTTATCATTAATTTATTTGTTATTAACCTATTTGTTTTAAAATATATTAATGTTTAATTATCCATATAAATATTTTCTATATATAATTTGGTTTTCTAATTGATTGTAAATTAATTTATCGATTTAAAGTTGTCATGGCTAGGAAATATTTTCGTTATAATTTAATGTTCATTAAAGTAATTAATATACAGTATATAGTAACCACGGCCTATGAGTTGCTATCCTTGGCTACCCTCTTACCGAGTCATCATACCTGTGTTTTTACATACCGTACACTACAGTCATCAGCACCTGTAGCTCATGTACCCACTCCAGTCATACCTGTGCCGCACGTACAGTACTTTCCAGTACGCCTTCTCCAGACGTCAGCCCTTCCTCAACGGCGCCCGCCTATGACGTCAAGGCCTCCCAAACACAACAAACTGGTTATCACCGCTACATCGCAC